TTGAATGGTAACTATGTACATTAATGCACTTCTGGGGTACAGTGTGGGGTTTTCACATGCAATCTGAAATACTTCCATCAAACTGGTCAACACAGCCTTCGTGTCCTTTTCTCAGTTATTGTTTTAAAACGTTCACATTCTACTCTTAGAAAGATTCACTTGTACCCCTGGTCTTTTCCTTCTTTATTATCATTGAAGCATTACAACTAATTCGGTTCTGTGATTGGTCATACTTAGAAGCTAATGCTTCTGGGTTTCATTATCTTTACTTTCCATTTTTAGAAAGAAAAAGAACTTCAGAAACTGACACAAGAAGAACTAAACTTCAAAAGTTTAGTTCATGATCTTTTCCAAAAACTTGAAGAGGCAAAGAGTTCCTTAGCAATGAATCGAAGTAGAGGGAAAGTCCTTGATGCAATAATTCAAGAAAAAAAATCTGGCAGGATTCCAGGAATATTTGGAAGATTGGTAAGGTAGATTTATTTGGGAATGACTTCACATTTTTTTCAAGAAAAGACATTATTAATTGTTATCTTGACTTAAAGAACTGTATATTGTCACTATACATAAAATAACATTAATTTTTGTTTTAAGAAACATTTTTAAACCTTTTAGTTTTTTTATTAGGATATAAAAGTAGAAGTTTTTATTAGAGAAAGGGAAGAAAGTAGGGAGGAAGAAATGAGAAAGAGAAAAAAGAGTGAAACTAGTGGAAGATAAGGGAGAAGAGAGAGAAAAAGAGCAAAAGAAGGCATGGGATCCCAAAGAAAGAAGGGAAGAATGGCGGCCTTGAGATGGGGGTGGTTCTTTCTTTCTTTCTTTTTTTTTTTTTTTCATTCTGCTGCCCCAGGCTAGAGTGCCCTGGCATCAGCCTAGCTCACAGCAACCTTAGACTCCTGAGTTCAAGTGGTCCTCCTGCCTCAGCCTCCTGAATAGCCTGGACTACAGGTACCCCACCACCACCCCACAATGTCCAGCTAATTTTTCTCTAGCTCAGGCTGGTCTCCAGCTCGTAGTTCAAGCAATCCACCTGCCACAGCCTCCCAGAGTGCTAGGATTACAGGTGTGAGCCACTGTGCCCAACCAGTTTTGGGGGGTTTATTTACTTAGTTTTGAATGATTACAATCACTTTATACGTATCAAGGAGAAAAACTTAGCAATGATAAGAAAACTTAAAACTACTTTGTCCTTTTCTAAAAAATAAGGATTTAGTGTATCTGTAGTCCCAGCTACTCAGACTGAAGTTGCGAGGATCCTTGAGCCAACAAGTTCTCCAATCTGGGCAACATAGTGAGACCCTTTAAAAAAAAGAAATTAAAACCTGTGATGTATTTTGGGTTTCATAGAATCATACATAAGGTTTTTAACTATGTTTAGGGACATTAATAATGGATTATCTAAAAACCCAAGGATAGCAACTGTGAGGACCATCACTGTTCCTGAGCCTGAAGAGGGAAGGGACTGTGGTCTCGAAGAAAGGGAGAAAATAAATAAATACCTCAGCCCTGGTCACCTCTTGCCATCCAGTCTCCAGCTGATAACCTCATACTGGCTAAAGCTAGAGAGCCAAAGGAGCCAGGGGATGTAGTTTCTGAGTTGGGAACTCAAGAGTTTTATGAGTTGTTTTCTTTATAGTACATTTAGTTTTTTTGCCTTCACATTATATATTTTCCTGAGATGAATACAGTTCTTGCATTTTGTGCTCATTAAAAATTCAAATTGCCTATCTATAAATTTTTTTAAAGGTTACATTAGGAACTACTTGTAGTGATATCCTCTGTAGAAGGGGGAAGGTTGGAGCAAGAAGGGCCAGTTAAGTTTTTTCCTTGTGTAAAGTTTTTGTACTTTTTAAAAGCCATGTATACAGAGTTTTTCAATTAATAATAACTTTAAAAATCTATATGAATAGTAATAAAATGATACTCTGCCTTTTGCCTAATTCCTTTTTTCCTCCTTTCTTAATTATTAGGGAGACTTAGGAGCCATTGATGAAAAATATGATGTTGCTATTTCATCCTGTTGTCATGCATTAGACTACATTGTTGTTGATTCTATTGATACAGCCCAAGAATGTGTAAATTTCCTTAAAAGACAAAATATTGGAGTTGCAACTTTTATAGGTTTAGATAAGGTGGGTGTTCTTAATAAACTACATATAATTTACTTTTTAAGTGCTAAGCGTTATCGTGTTTGTATTCTAGCTTTTCCTTCACAGTTAGTGAACTAGAGTTTGAGCATTATTTTAGGTTCTAGGATTGCACAGTTATAAAAAAATTAAAAAATCTTTTACTGCCTCTTGTACATTCCAGTGATATAAGTGGAAGCATGCAAAATGTGGCTTTTGTATATATCTACATTTAATAACATGTTTCCAGGTTCATTTATGTTATATTGTGTATCACTACTTCATTCCTTTTTTATTGCTGAATCGTTATTTCACTAAATATGATATTACCATATTTTGTATAACCATCAATCAGTTGATGGCCAGTAGTTGTTTCCATGTTTTGACTGCTTTGACAGAAATACTGCTGTGAATACTCATACATTTTATATGAACATGAGTTTTCAGTTCTTTTGTTTATGTACCTAGTGGTGGAATTGCTGGGTCATATGGTAATTCTCTTTATCTTTTTTTTTCTTTCATTTTTTTCTTTTGAAATGTGGCTTCATAGCTCACAGCAACCTCAAACTCTTGTTCTCAGGCAGTCCTCTTGCCTCAGCCTCTCAAGTAGCTGGGACTACAGGCACCCACCACCACGCCTGGCTGGTTTTTCCATTTTTAGTAGAGACAGGGCCTCGCTCTTGCTCAAGCTGGTCTCATACACCTGAGTTCATTCAAGTGATCCACCTGCCTCAGCATCCTGAAGAGCTAGGATTACAGTCAAGAGCCACTGTGCCCGTCCCAATTCTATATATCTGTTTTGGAGAACTGCCAATCTCTTTCCACAGTAGCTCTACCATTTTCCACAAGGATATATAAGGGTTCCGTTTTCTTCATATCCTCCCTATTATTGTTTTATATCTAGTTTTCATTGATATTTAAACTCGCCTGGGTCGGGTTCAAACCCGCCAGCCTTGGTGTATGTGGCCAGTGCCCTACCCACTGAGCTACAGGCACTGCCTTTTGCTTATTTTTTAATCAGTTTTCTTATTATTGTGGTAAGAGTTTTTTATTCTGGATGCGAGTCTGTTTTTTCCCATTCTTTAGATTGTATTTTCATCTCCTTTGAAGCACAAAAGTTTTAAATTCTAAGAAACCACTACTTAGGCCAGAAAGGGATCATACCTGTCTCAAAAAGAAAAAAGAAAACACTGCCTAATTGAAGGTCACAGTGATTTACTTCCTCTGTTTCCTAAGAGTTTTATAGTAGCTTTTAGATTTGGGTTTTTAATCTATTTTGAGTTCATTTTTATATATGGTATAAAGTGAGGATCCAACTTTACTTTTTTGCATGTGACTGACTATTCAGTTCTTCTTGCACGATTTGTGAAAAGACTATTCTTTGAGTTTTCTTGGCACCTTTGTTGAAATCAGCCAACTATAAATGTAAAGATTTATTGCTGGACTTTAAATTTTATTACTTGATAGCACATTGTCTTCATTACATATTGTGGTTTTTTAGTATATTTTTTATATCAGGAAGTGTGAGTTCTCAAATTTTTTTCTTTATCAATATTGTTTTAGGTATTCTGAGTTCCTTGAATTTCTGTATGAATTATAAGATTGACTAGTTGATTTCTGCCCCCGAAAGCAAGAAAGGATGGGAGGTAACTGGAATTTTCATATAGGTTGCATTCAATCTATAGATCAGAGAGGTAATAGTGCCATCTTAACAAAAAAAAATTTTTTGAGACAGAGTATCACTCTATTGCTCCAGGCTAAAGTGCCATGGTGTCAACTTACCTCACAATAACCTTAAAACTCCTGGATTTACCATGATCCTTCTGCCTCAGCCTCCTGAATAACTGGGACTACAGACACCTGCCTTATTTTTACTATTTGTCAGAGACAGCAGGGTCTTGCTCTTGGTCAAGCTAGTCTTGAACTCCTGAGCTCAAAAGATCCTTCCACTTCAGCCTCCCAGGGTGCTGAGATTATAGGTGTGAGCCATTAGCACCTGGCTTGAGGTCTAATAAGTTTTATATAGGGTGGCCATAAAGTTCATGTGCAACTTAAACTATAGACAGTTATTTTAAGTTGCACACAAACTTAAGGGCACCGTGTATTTATTTCTTTAATTGAATTTATTTCCATATTTTTTTGATTTTCTTTACGATAGTATAATGGAATTCTTCATTTCATTTTCTGACCTTCAACTGCTGGTATACAGCAGTATAATTCTTATGTATTGATTTTCGATCCTGTAACTTACTGAACTAAATTTTTATAGATAAGATCATGATACCTAGAAGAAATGACATGCTCTTTATTTTGTTTGTGATGTATGTTTTTGCTTTTAGATGGCCGTATGGGCAAAAAAAATGACCAAAATTCAAACTCCTGAAAATACTCCTCGGTTATTTGATTTAGTAAAAGTAAAAGATGAGCAAATTCGCCAAGCTTTTTACTTTGCTTTACGGGATACCTTGGTAGCTGACAATTTGGATCAAGCCACAAGAGTAGCATATCAAAGAGATAGAAGATGGAGAGTGGTAACTTTACAGGGACAGATCATAGAACAGTCAGGTAATATGTTTTCCTTATATTGAGTTTATGTTGTTGGAGAAGACTTCCTATACAGACTTCTGTCCTCTGCTCTGCAGGTACAATGACTGGTGGTGGAAGCAAAGTAATGAAAGGAAGAATGGGTTCATCAGTATTGGTTGAAGTCTCTGAAGAGGAGGTTAGTATATCTAAAATTGAAGTCAGACTTGTTTTCTATAAACAACTTTATTGAGATATATCAGACATATTGCAAAATTCGGCCATTTTAAGTTTAATACTCACATTTTAATTGAATTTTGTATAAGTAGGAGTTTATGTTAACACCTTTAAAGTTTTAAAAATAAAACATTAACTCAGATAATAATTCTCTAAAATATAAGTATTGAAAAAACTCCTGGTATATGTATCAAAATCTTAATTTTAAAATATTTTATTTCTGTGCTTATATTTTCACAAGTAATATATGAGAATGATGGAAAACCAAGGAAAAACTACTGTGTTCCATTATTGCCCTCAAAAAAGTATATGTACTTTTTTCTTACTTGAAAACATGTTCTTAGATGTCCTAAATAAATACCTGACTTTCTCAAGTGTTTGGCCTTGATTTTCACTGTCATACTTTGAAAATAAAAGTTTGTATTCTTCTGCCCAAGTGTTTGAATGTTATCCTTCATTGAAATAACAAGTGACCCTAGAGAACTTAAAGTTGTCTGTCCATCTGATTAGGTGATACACAAATTGGTTAAATGTCTCCTGAACTTTTAAGATTAGGGAGCAGACCGTAGACTGTTTAGTTTTGTCCTAGTCTTAAGATCAGAAGTTTGAGTTTTCTTCATAAATTGACTCTGCTATCAATCTGAAATGTCTCTTGGTGAAAACTTCACTGACATGTTTCATTCATAGGTAAATAAAATGGGGTTACAGTTTGAAAAAGACTCTAAAAAATCACTGCAAATCGAAGAACAAAAAGTACATCTTGAAGAAGCAGTAGTTAAGTTACGGCATAGTGAACGAGAAATGAGGAATACACTAGAAAAGTTTACTGCGAGCATTCAGGTATTTACTTTTGTGCTTGCATGTGTGTGTATGTCAGTGTAACTGAAACTATTGCAGGTTAGTAGTACCATTTGTTTTTTGCTTATAATTTTAAAATGTAAGAGATAAGAGTACAGACACAATGGCTCATGGCACTCTGGGAGTCATCCTAGCACTCTGGGAGACAGAGGCAGAAGGATGATCCTTTGAGCTGAGGAGTTTGAGAACCAGCCCAAGCAAGAGCTAGACTCCATCTCTATGAAAACACCTGAAATTTCATCTTCTTGGGAGATGGAGGCATTTGGATTGCTTGAGCCCAGGAGTTTGAGGTTGCTATGAGCTAGCCTGATACTTCTTTGTTTCCCCATCTACTAGTGGATGATTCTCTATCACAGTGTTGCTCCAGCCACAGCTATTCTTGTTTTCTTTTTGTATTTCATAGAAACATGATTTCCTTTAGCATCTACATGACCTTTTATTTGTATTCTTCTTGAAGTGGATTATGAAATGCAATGCATGTCTGTTCTTTTTTTTAAAGAAAGGTAAGTTTTCAGAAAATACCCAATTGATCATCACCTTCAATTTGATATATATCCTTTGACATTTTTTAAATACTTAGTATCTAGTTTGCATGTAAATATTTGTATCTGTGGTAATATGTATAACATTATAGAGTGTTCGTGGCTCAGTACCTGTAGTCCAGTGGTTAGAGTGCCAGCCACAAACACTGGGGCTGGTGGGTTCGAACCCAGCCTGGGCCTGCTAAGTGACGACAATTGCAACAAAAAGATAGCCAGGCTTCGTGGCAGGTGCCTGTAGTCCCAGCTACTTTTGAGGCTGAGGCAAGAGATAACTTAAGCCCAAGAGTTTGAGGTTGCTGTGATCTGTGATGCCATGGCACTCTACTGAAAGTGAGACTCTCTCAAAAATAAAAATAAAAAAAAGACTGGATACCTAAGTGTTCATTTGGTGTTTTAAATGTACCAAATTTTCTTCCCTTAATAAATTATGACTTCTTTCCAAACCAGTATAAATTTAGTTTTCCATTGCTTTAGAGCATTTTTTGTACCACAATCTGATCCATGTTTTTGTGTTGGGTGCAGGGCTATGCTTGAAATATCCTTGTAGGTCTATCTTTATGCACTCATCACATTATTTCCTTAGAATAGATTTCTAAAATGACATCTATTGCACAGTATGCACACAATGTTTAAGACATTGGTTGCATCAGTTTTTATATATGTGCTACTGAAGAAAGCACAACCAAATTGTTTTCAAAAGTGGATTTTTACAATTTGTGCAATACTAGTTGCATGTGAATAATTATTTTTTTATTTCTTTGAACACTAGGGTAGTCTTAAGAATGTTGTAAATTTGCTACCACAAAATCTAAAAAAAAATCTCGTTCTAACTTGTCTTTGTAATGACACGAAACATGTTTCATATTGATTGGCTTTTGTCATTACTCATATTCATGTTTTTTGCCCTTTTCCTATTATCTTCTTCTTAAAGACTTAAGTTCCCCTTTTAAAAAATCAAAATGTTTAAAGTAAATGTTATTGTTACTTAGTTAAAATATTGATCTTAAATCTTTCTTTAGCGTTTAACAGAGCAAGAAGAATATTTGAATGTCCAAGTTAAGGAACTTGAAGCTAATGTACTTGCTACAGCTCCTGACAAAAAAAAACAGAAGTTGCTGGAAGAAAATGTTAGTGCTTTCAAAACAGGTATGTTTGAAGACAGACATATTTTCAGATCATCAAATTCTGCGGTCGTTAAGATAGCAGTTTGTAGAATAATAGCAACTAATATGTGCAGAAAATTGCACTATCTTATGGGTTTTGTTATTACCTAATTCTTAGTGCTGTTTGACAAACGAAGAAACTGAGGCATGGAGTGGCGTGTGTGTGGCATATATAATGTGGCTCAGGTCACGTGGCAGGTGGTAATATAGGAATATGTGGTATAGTCTGATTCTAGAGCTCAGGGTCTTAATTTCATACTTTGGTATACTTTGACCCTAATATTTGCAAAATCAATTAAAGATAATAGTTACAAATATAGAAAACTGGGGCTTTGGAGAAATTAAATCACTCAAACAGGAGCCACAAGGAATAAATGGTATGCACATGGAAAAACCTTATTTGAGAACTTAAATATGTATTTTCCTTTCAGATCTTTTTGTTCTCATATACATATACACATGTTAAAGTGTTCTGCTAAGATAGTCTTTAGCAGAGGGAATTCATATCATAGACTCATAGGCACAGTTGGCTTGATAGCCTTGATTGCTGTGCACACCAATGATAAGTGGATACCCATATTAATTTTTGTGTATATCCATATTTATCTGCACTTTTAAAATTCAAGTATTCATTCAAATAGCATTTGCTACTGGCCAGACTTTGTTTTAGGTGCTGTTGATAGAGCAGTAGACAAAATAAACTCTCTTGAAGGAGCACACATTTAACATGAAACAGGAATATTTGAGTGGAGTCCCAAAAGGAACTGTGAGTGCTAATAACTATGTGAGTATTGGGGAGAAAAACATTCCAAGAAGTGTAGAGGAGTAAATGCAAAATCCCTGAGCCAGGAGTATTCTCTAGCTAGAATAAAGGACGGAAGAATCATTCATGCTCCTCTTTCCCTACATAAAACCCCAATATTTTTTGTGACTGCTTTGATAGTACCTAACGGTCAATTGAAAAGCCAAAAATGTGCATTCGTGTTTTGGTGTCTATACTGGAGACCCATATATTTAAGATTAAATTTTTCCCTTTACATGAATTTAGACTTGAAAAGTTATCTCTGTGGCTAATGTGCAAACGGTAGAATAGCGAGGGGCCCAGGTGGATAACTTGTTAAATATGGAATGGTGGATTCAGAATCATATACTATATGCCACAGTTATTCCTTCTAGTAGACATGCTACATAGATAGATGGTAGTTACTTAAGAAGGAAATGCTCTAAAAATAATCCTACAGCTGCACACCTAACCTACCCTCTAATCACTGTAAGTGGTGGTCTCTACTCCACAAGTGAGCCAAGCCCACAGGCAGCCTAATGGAATTTCAACCACAAACTACATTGTCACAGTGCAGACAATTTCATCAACATGTGCCATAAAGTAGACCTTAGAACAGTTCGTGAGTGTTAGCAATCTACAGGGCTTGCATCTATGTACTGTGCTTAGGAAGATAAGGAATCCTGAAGTCCCCCCCGCCCCCAAAAGGCAGGGTTTTTTAAAGACTCAAATGGTAAGCACTGAAATTAAACTCAATAGGTAGACTGGAAGGTCAGACTAAAGGCAGCTCTGATAACATAGTGCAAAAAGATAAAGAAATGGGAAGTTAAGAGATTTGAAATTCCAATATCTATTTGCCTAACAAGAAAAAAGAGAAGAAATAGTAGTTTTTATCTAATACTTTTCTCTCAGCAAATCCTACTTCCCTCTTCCTGTGCCAGATACCCATGTACCACTACATAGGCTCTTGTGGGAATCCCTACACACCAGTTAGCTAAGCATGGTGATTGCCTTTCTACATGGATAGGTATTCTTGATAACTTGGATTTCCCACTTTTTTGCCATTTCTTCATCCTTCCTATTATGATTAGGATTCAACTATAGAGAACAGAATATGGTTAAATAGACACATAATTTATGGTGTAAATAGGTTACGTGTGGTGTATATGCACACTTGTATTATGTGTATAATGAGGTATTAATCATTGAGATGGCCAAAGAAAGTTTCTAGATTGAATGTCGCAGAATAATGTCCAGAACTACTATACTTACCCTACAGTTAAAAAGAATTTTCTTGGGGCAGTGCCTGTGGCTCAAAGGA